GAGAACTGCTAAAGACCAGATGATTTTTATTATGTCCTGATACATAAAACCATAGAACTCAAAGAGGGTGTGCTTTATTTTTCACGACTGTATATCTTGTATCGTTCATTTTCTGTTCTAAAAACTCAACTCTAAACTAAAAGTTTTCTTCCTTCACACATTCATACATACCTTCCCAATGCAAAGGCTAGGTTTGAGTTCCAGAACTATCAAGGTGGGACACCTACACAAAATCCTTGTTCTATGTGGTGGCTTCCAAGGACTACAGTTCCCATTCATTTTGATACCTTTCAACAAGATTTGACTAGTCCCTCAAAGCATGTCCAGCCCCACCTTAGCACTTTTTTCATATCTCCTGGTACTTTTCCAGCAGAGTGCCATTGCCTCATTTAGTTCACATGGAAACGGTGTGTTTTGGGATCTGTTGTTAGAGAGATATCTTGCTAAACCTTTGCTGAAGTGGTAATTCTCCACATGCAACATAAGCTGAAATCTTCTTAAACAACCCTTTCTTTTTTCAGCCTGCTTTGAGTGGATCTTACATTTATTCACACACATACATGCTGTTTAACATATACACAACGACACTGCTCTTCCCTACTGCCTCTAAGGAAGCAGTCGGTACTGAGGGATGAGAAGGAATAAAGTGAAATTAAATCCAGACAAGCTGAAGGTGTTATTGGTAAGGAGAAAGCTTCACTCTGGGACTGCACTCCAGAAAGAGCATGTCTGCATCTTTTGAATGCTCCTTGACCTCCAGTGATCACTGGATTTCCAGATGGTAGCTGTGATGAGCAGACCATTTACATATTTACACATTGTGCAAACTTTTTTAAGTTTGGACTTAGCAACAACTATTTATGCCTTGGATACAATCTGACTCAACTACTGTACTGGGCTTTACTCAGAGCTGCTCTTGAAAAGTGTCTTGAAACTGCACCTGGGGTAAAAGGTTGCAGACTAGTGCAAAGTGCAGGATTATATGATGCCTATGCTGAAAGATCTGCACTGTTAATTATTTTAGTGACTTTAAATCAAGTAACAATTAAAATTAACAAAAGCTTGGCAAAATATAGGTCTTTACCATCCTCCCAAATCTTTAATTTTAATTGCATTAATCTTCTTTTATGCTTTGTATTTCTCCTTATTGTAAATGTTGAATTATGGAATAAACAGAAAGGCAGCGTATAAATTCAGTAATAAATATTCTTTAAAAAAAGGATTCTGTCCCCTACCATCCACTACAGAGATTGTTTCATGAAACATAATTGCCCCAAATTAAAACCAACATGTTCTAATGTAAGCGTAGGAACATAATTCACTGTTATGAAACTTCTAAGCAAAAACTGAAGAAAGAGGTCACTTGAATAGACAAAGAACACTGATCATATCAGGCATTTATACTTCAAATTGCTAACTGTGCTTTATAGCTGCCAATACTGTAGATGATAGCTGCATGACAATTAACCTGAATCTTGTAACGGGCAGTAGAGAGAGAAGGTTTATTAAATTTCTGGTGGCTTTCATGCAAGGCTGTAGTTTACTGGGCAGTCTGCTTTCCCAAATCCACAACCTTCAACATCTCCTTACAACAAAATCCATGAATAATTTTAAATACTGAAAACTTACTTCCCATAGTTCATAAATCTCTTTTCTCAGATCCTCTGACAGCAATCTGGTCAAATGTTTCATAGCTTCCTAAAAAAACAAAAAGAAAGCAAAACAAAATCCCCAAGATGCTATAATTTTTATTCAAATGCTATCAAATGCCTTTTCCCCGTTCTCTGCTTCTGGACATCAATACGAGCCATTGTCCATTACACTGCTATTCTGAATTGATAATGCTAAAGATTGTTAGCTTGGCTTCTATTACTAAATGTACAACAATCCACATTCACCATAAGTGGCTGACAGTGAAATAAATTGTTCAGCAACCACAAGTTCTGTGCCAGAAATAACTTCTCAAATAGCACTTTTTAGTGTTGTTTGGAGAATGGCAGGTTAGAGAAGGCTGCTATAGACAATCACACTGTTAGCATCTCCATACTGACCTCTTCTTGCCTGTGTTTCTCTTCTTTGGAAATATTGTCAGCAGGAGTAATGTCACCAACTATGCATTCAGCCATATCATGAACCAAAGCTAACCGAACGCATCTGCAGAGAAAATATGTGTAAAGATATGCAACAGAGAGAGCACCACCTGCAAAATTTACTTTGTGCTGAATATTAGTGAATCATATATAGATTAGCTCCAGAATAAAACACCTGGTCATAAAGGTTAATGAAATTAAAAAGCTTGTCACACAGAAGGTCATAAAGAGACCTTTGTTGGTCTTATCCATTCGGAGACTCAGTATGCATAGAAACAAATATAGGTTTCCAACTTTTCTTGTTCACTTTCTGAACTAAAAGGTTCACTTATCCATACATACACTCCCCAACCCAATTCAAAATCTAGCTGACCAGATCAGGTTTGAGTTCTAGAAGATGCCCACCAGTATTTTGTTCTATGTGATGGTACAGAGTGATGATACTACTTTATCCCAATCTGAATCTTCCAAGGCTTGGCCAGCCCCAGCTTGGTAGTCTTCTTATAACTCGTGGCACTTTTTTTATTTGACTGCTAATGTCTGATCCAGTTCACATAGGAACTCTGTTCTGATCTGAGAACCACTTTGTGTTTGAAAGAACCACTTTGTGCTTGAAAGAACCACTTTGTGCCTATACAAGAAAATGTATAGGCAAAATTAAGTTATATACTGCAGAGCCTTGACTTCCCTGCCAGAATACATTCCTATGCATTGTGACGTTGTCCTTGGAGAACTCTCTCTTGTTTTGAAGACTCAAATGTATTTTGTAGATGTTTTCTTTCTGATACTTTTCACTGTACTGCAAAAGTTGAAATTTTCCAGAATAACCCTTTATTTATGGCCTGTTTTGCATGAGTCCCACATACTCTTATATTTCACACACATCACACAAATTCATAATGCAAATCTACACATTATTAACAGTATCACAGCTAGAGCGCAACACTGGTAACAGCTTCTGAAGAAACCCCCCTGAAAAGTTAATTTGCTAGAAGCTGATATTCTTTACTCCAACTTTGATATCTAATGAGCCAGTATCAATAGAGCTCAGATCTAGGAAGGATCATAAATGGAGTCATAAATATATACAGTGGTACCTTGGGATACGAACGCCTCTACTAACGAACTTTTCGGGTTACGACCAGCTCCGGCCGCAAAAATTTACCTGGGTGTG